CCCCCCCCCCCTCCCCCCCCGCCCCCGGCGCCCCCGGTTGTCGTCTTTGTGCCGTTCCCCAAGATCCCCGTTATCGGCGGCAAAGCGCGTTCCTCCACGGACTCGCCGGTCGGGCCGTGCGACCCTCCTCCACCACCGCCGTCCCCGCTGTGCCCGCCATGTGCCCCGGCGTTAGAACCAGATCCACCGCCACCGCCGCCACCGTCACCGCCGCCGTTGCCGCCAACGTGGCCGTGCTTTCCCCCGCCGCCGAGACCTCGAGCGAGGGATCCCGTCTTGGCTATCTTGGGATGCTTTTTCCCACCGCCGCCGCCCCCGCCGGGCCCGCCGATGCTTGTACTCCCGCCTCCGCCGCCGCCGCCGCCGCCGCCGCCAACTGCTCCGCTAGAGTTGTTTGCGCCACCGCTCCCGCCGACGCCGGCGGCACCGCCACCGCCGACGACTGTCGTGCTTCCTTGCTGGCCGATGGTCGGCAGGGCCGTGTCCGACTGACCGGGATCCCCCACCGAAGTTTTGTGCGCGAGCTGCGGGGCAGGGGCGATAGATAGATTGGCGCTAAGCTCAACATTCGGAGTTGGATTTTTTTGTGGCGCACAAGCTTCGAAACGGATGGTTGCGTATGTCGGGGAGGAGGGTAGGGTTCTGCTCATTGCTATCGAACTGAAGAATCGGATGGAGCGGCGGAAACTGTTCTTCCAAGAGCGGAAACACAACTTGTCAAAGAAAAGCTCCTCACCTGAGGGGCCCGGCCTGTGCTAGCTACCGTTGCCGAGTCGCCCCCGCCTGCGGCATCTTCCGTCGCCCCCCTCGCTAGCTTCGAGGTCGATTCAGCCTGTGCCTGCCAATCGGTACGTTTTGGTAGAGAGAAACAAGAAGAGCCGTTTTGTTGCAGGCTTACTTCAAAGATGTGGCTTGTCGGCTGTTCCGCTTTTTTCAAGCCAACGGTGAACAACCTTCCCAGAGGCTACCAGCTGATTGCGCATGCCTGTTCGCCTGACACGTGCTTTAGGTAGCGCTTGAAAGAGGGAATATTTCGGAAGGTACTCCCTGTTCGCATAAGGGAGCGGACTCTAAGACGACTACAAGTGCAGCCTGGTATCACAGTTTTTAGAGCGAGGTACGGTAGTAGCCCTTGGGCATCACCTCTTGTTGTTGCCTTTACCATTCGCAGGTCGATAGGTGTAGCGCTAGACAGAGCGAATAAACAGAGCGAACAAGTCGGCACTAAGTCATGGCAAGCCTAAGGGAGAGCAGACTAACACGACTAGTGTGAAGTACGGTAGCCCCTGGGGGTCATCCTTTGTACGTTGCGGTTGCCTACCTTTCTTAGGTCGACCTCTCGGATCTCTCGGAAGTAGGGGTGCCTCAACGACTCCCTGGCGGTGCAGCGATCTGACCAGTCGTACCTCAGCAGCTGCAGCGAATCAAGTCCATCAGGGTGGAAGCAGACGCTGAAGTGAGCGAAAGGGAAGAGGAGGAGTCCTAGCCGTTTGGGAAATAGGAGGGGGTGGTACGGGGGCTTCTTTTTCTACCCTCAGCCACAAGGTCATAGACTGTTGCGTGGTTTCCTTTTCGGAGCCGGGCAAGAAGTGGTGCTTAACCAAAACAGTTGGAGGCATTGCAGCGTTCCGAGCAGTTTGAGAGAGGGGAGAGGAAGCGGGGAATCGAGTTGTTCTCCGAAAGGCTGTGTGCCGTGCTAGACAGCCGACACCGACGGATGTACTTTCTCAGCGCTGAACACCCAGCTGCACAATTACGTTGTTCTTGCTGTTGTTGTTGGTGGTGGTGGTGCAGCTGCTGCCGCTGCTGCTGCTGCTGCTGTCATCGGTATCTCCGCTGCTCCGAACACAACTCGGACCCCCCTTCAAAGCCTTCCTTCCGTGCTACTCCGTCCATAGATACCACGGCTTCTGTGTTGCAAAGTATTGTTCGACGAACCGCCAAGAACAACCATGTTTCCATCTCCCTCTAGCTCACGCACCGTTTTTGGTCCACAGGGTTGACGCACGAGCCCAAGACAACCACCAAAGCCGCACGACTGGCTCTACGGTAGCCGAACAATGCTCAGCGTACTGTAGCACAGCACAGCGCAACATATAGGATCATAAATACTTGTTGTCCGATTCTCTCTCTCTATCTATCTCTCTCTCCCTCCCTCCCTCCCTCCCTCGTTCTCATTCTCTCTCACACTCTCTCCCCCTCTATCTTGCTCTCTCTCCCTCTGACCTTGGTGATGAGGTCGACGCACTCCGCCGACGCGTGGGGAATCAGCTGCGCCACCCCGATGCCCTTTTGCGTCGCGAAGTCGAAGTCCACGTGCGCTGCCCCGTTCTGCTTGAACTTCCCCAACACCTCGCCGGAAGGGTTTCCTAACACCTGTTTCCGTTTGTGGATACAGTAACAAGGCGTGTGTTTGTGGGGAGGGGGTTGGGGGGCGGGCAGGTGCACACTCGGCAGCGGCTCTCAGCGTGCTTACCCCGATGTACCAACACCCTCTACAAACATATTTGTTGTCTGGATCATCGGTGCTTGAACCTAAAGTGCTTGGTCGAATGATGGCTGTTTATCTATCGGGTCCACCTATATATTAAGATCTCGCGGACAGCAGTACATGGCAAGGGGGGGGAAACAAATGCACAAATAACCGTGTGAGAGGTCCCGTCCGCGTGGTCCTTTCTTTGGCCGCACTCCTTTTCCCTTTGCTCCGGAGCGGTGCGGCCTGGCCTGCACAAGTCCAAGCACCTCTCCCCTCTACAGGTGGAGGTGCCTCAGAAGTTGCAGCTGCACACTCAATTGCAGTAGTACTGCTGGCTCTCACCTTGTGGACTCTACCGATCTGGTCCAGCTCGTTGGTCCCCGGGAAGAGGGGGTACAGGCTGGTTATCTCGAAGAAGACGCAGCCCGCCCCCCACTGGTCCATCTCCGGGCCGTAGTAGCCATCTGTGAGGAGGCACTCCGGAGCTCGGTACCACCGAGTTGAGATGTACTCCGTGTAAGGCTGATCGTGAACCCAAGGGAGAGTCCGAAGGGGGGGGTGGGGAGGGTTGGAGACAAGGCGACGGGTGCTCAAATTGCGGAGGGGTTAGCAGCGTCAAAGGGGTTCTGGTAGCTGCGGTAGGTGTGCCTCGTTGAAGACTGTTTGTTCCTACCAAGTTCTTGGAGCTGGTCATGGTGTTTTGGGAAGACCGGCCGGTAGGAAAGGGCAGCGGCGGGAGTAACAGCAGCGTGCCGTAGGTGTCTCCGGGTGAAAGAATCGTCGGTTCACATTCGCGCCCCTGAGTACCACCGCAACAAAACACGTGGCTGTTTTCGTGCACAGCAGCATGCTTCGGGGTAGAAGCAAAGGACAAAGCAGTGGTGCTCGCAACGACTTCCCTCAGATTTCAACGGACTTCACGGCCCGAAGTTTAACCTTCGTGACGGAGATCCGTCAAAAACCAAACCAAGTAGATACGCACAGATGTGTGTTTTCTGGACAACTAACTTTGGTTCGTTTTAGCAATCAATGTCGTGCCTGCTTGGAGTAGATGCCTCTACACGAGCCGAAATCCGCCAGCTTTAGGCCCCTGCCCAGGTCGTTTGTGCTCTCAATCAGGATGTTCTCCGGCTTGATATCCCTGTGGAAGATTCCTTTCCGGTGCATGTGATCCAACGCCTTTAGCAGCTGGTACATGTAGCTTCGCACCAGCTGCTCGTCGCACACGACGCGTTCCGTGGTCGTGCGCGGATTTTTAGGCAGAGCAGGGGGAGGGAAGGACTATTGAGATATATACATCGCTTCTCGTGTTTCTGCTCGGATCAACTCCTTGGACTTTGGAAGATGGGTGGCCAAACTTTGGCCTTTCTGCAGACGAACGACTTGTGTCTCGGCTGGATACAAAAGCGCTTGGATGAGAGTTGACACGAAAACTTTGCATGGGTGCTGAGGAGAAGGAACAGCAAGGGGAACGACAGTAGCAGCAACGACATCAATAATAGCACTGTGTTGTTTACAGAGTTCTGGTGATACATTATGCGTTCTTTCAGTAGAAGATACGACGAAAGAAGCTCATTCAGTTGTCCAACATCTTTCCATCGAAGCGACTCCCCCCAGATTGCTTCTTTACTGCGGGGCGGCAGATCTACGCACCTGGCCATTGAGGTAGTGCCGTCTCCCTCGAATGAGCTCGTAAAGGTTAGCGTCCATGAGCTCAAATACAAGCGCAAGTCTTCCGGTGGGCTGGTCGTACAGCACTTCCTCCAGAGTGACCACGTGCTGGTTCGGGCTGAGTCGTCGCAATGCCTGGATCTCTCGCAAGTTGTTCACCTGGTTACGTTGTGAGCGATTTGATGTTTCCGTTGCTGCCGTTGCTGCTGTCGATGATGTTGGCGGTATTTCGTTTGATAAATAGACGATGCGGGTCGAAATTTTGGCATGACGGGTAACCGCTGGAAGGCATTCTTCCATTTTCATTTCTCCAGGGAGTTTTGTTGTTGTCGACCTATTGTGGCGTGTAGTCTACTATTTGCTGTCGTGCGTGTGCTTTCGTCCTATATATTATGGCGACTTTCTCCCCATTTTTCGTGGTGAGACGCGTACTACACTTTTTGCAGAGCATGAACTTATTCAACCGTGGTGGTGAGCGCATTGAGCCAGACGGTAATCATCGCTCCAGCGTGTAGGCACCACCTCCGACCCAATGCGCATGGCCACCGGCATTGCTCCTATTCGCCGATGACGATTCGTTTTCCACCAAGAGCTTCCTTGATATATCGACATGCATCATCTCGTACATGTACGTCCTGCCCAAACCAATAATATGTAAGAATTAAATTAGATGCTGTCAAAATGCTATGAAAAAACACGCTCCTACATGTGCCTTGGGCAACAACCATGTTGTTAATTCCATTTTGGTTGCCAAACGAGTGCACCCAAAGTCTCAGGGTATGTCTACAGAATATGGCTTACATCTTGCGGCAACGGTGAAGAATCAGAATCGAGCATCTAGTACATGGCGCAATATTATTGGTGCCTCCGGTCGTGGAGTACTTCAACAAAAGTACGACATTCGCAACCGGGGCGTACTGCTGTAGACTACTGGAGGTGTCCCAGCACCGAATACTGTCTGTCCTACATCCACGCACAACCCGTATCGAGAACATTGATGTAGTCTAAGACTACATTGTTCCGCTTTTTTTGTCGGCACACCAGGGATGTGACAACGTATTTTGAGCCGGAGACATCAATGACCAGATTGTCCCGAGGTCTTCCGTTCGGAGGAAGATTAGCGCTAGGAGGAAGATTAGCTAAGGGAGACGTTGGTGTGTATGTACAGTAGTCCAATCAACATCTCGGCGGGTAAAAATGGATACATGCCCTGTTCAGCTGTGCGTCTTCTACGTCATCATCGTTCCCATGACACTAATAAGAAGTTTACCGCATAGACTAGTAGCCCACATTGTGTGACGGATCGGTTGGCGCTGTCCGTGATAATGTTGAGTTTTCAAGTTTAGCTGGATCAACAAGCTCCGCCATGCAATCCTAGCTGGGTTCGAGCAACACACGAATTTGAGGGCGTCTCCGCGTCGACCTCTTCGTGCAGTTCTGCATTCCACGGAAAAAAGAGAAAAATATTTTGCTGTGACCATATTGTACTGCTGTACACATCCTCTCTGGACCGATCCTGAGCACCTCTGTTGAGACGGCGGCTCACCTGATCAATGCTGTCGAACCTGTTCTTCATACACTTGATGGCATAGTACTTCCCGTCCTTGACGTTCTGTGCCTTGAGCACCTCGCTGAAGGTCCCCTCTCCCTTTTTGGCTACCAACCGGTACTTCCTCATCTTGCTGCTGACGCTGATACTGCCGTTGGTGCTGGTGCTGCCTCTGCTGCTGCAACCACCGTCTCAGCCCCTGAGGCTAGCTCCACTTCGGACAGCTTCAAGCACTCGAGCCAGCTGTACTTCCCGTGCCTGGTTCCCGAGCACGGGGATGCGCTGCTCTTAGCGCTCGACAGCGGTCGTTGTAGTTGTCACCCGCTGTTGTCGGTCTCTGCAGCTCTGGAGCTGAGGGGCAGCCTATACTGCTCCGCCTTGTTTGCCGGTGTGATCAAGATCCTACGGCGGATACATTTCCTACTCCGGCTTCCGTAACAGGATATTCCGCACCAAAGGCTATCGTTTGCGTGCTGCTATGCGTTAGGCCTTTGGTCGTGTGGTGTGTTCCTTGCTGGCGGGTCTGCTGCCGTCGCGCGCGCCGCGTGTAGACCGTTTTCACGCGGCGTGATAGGTGCCGGTTCAAGAGGCCGCTTGGCCGCTGGCGTCGTGGATGACGAAATCGGGGCAACATTAAATACCCAACAGCCATGGTAGCAGGCAGCTACAACATCCAACGCAGGCGATGGAAGAAGGTGGGCGGCAATTCGGCATTGGCATCCAGTGTGGACTCGTTTTTCCACCCAAAAGCTCACGGTGAGTGGTGGATCCTTGTCGCCGATTGTGTCCAGCAACTACATTCTGTGCTGGAAAATGCCTATAGTCTAGAGGGTCTGAAAAAACACGAGTAAGCAGGATTGGTCCTACACATGCAGTTATCACTGCCTTGCACGTAAAGAAAGATGAAAGGATACTCCCTCTTTGCGACTTGAACAGGTGAATGTAGTCAACAGCAGTTACCGTTTGTCTAGACTGGTCATCATGCAACACTGCAGCAGCAGCAGTCTACGGACTCTGCCCCATGCCCGAAGATAAAGCTAGACTAAGTAGACTAAGACTGTTGTACCGGGACTTACAGGTTACTGTCTGGTCAAAGGCTCGGAGCGAGCACCCCTCCGGTGCTTTCCAATGATATGCAGAACCGCCTGGCTGCCCGTCCGGCCAGGTAACTCGCCTGCTAAAAACATGGTACATTTTTCATGTTGGTCGTCAAGTTCCAAGTCCCCAAATTGTGCCCCACCACCAGTCATATTATTAGCGAGTCAAGCTAGGACAATCGCAAGCTTAAACGATTTGTGGAGGTCCTGGCAACAATGTCAGCAAGCAAAACGAGGATCGTACAAGGGATTGGACGCTAGTGCTTTGTCCCTTGAATGGCACTCTACTCGTACCATTCAGCATTTATGTAGACTACTTTATGAAGTATACGGCTTTGCGAGGGCGGAAAAGACTGGTGCATATAGAGGGAAAACGATGCGCTGTGGGACTCATTGGAGAATCGTGAACATTAATATTCTTGCACCGGAGCAGGCCCCTGTGGACAACAGGCCAATCATCAGTTGAAGACGAGAGAGAAGATCACGATTTCCCGGTACGGAAACAAAAAATGGCGATTTCGATGAAACAAATGCAACAACAGCAATCCCGCTCTCCTACTCGGAGAAAAGGCAGAACGATCCGGATCGATCTCTCGCAGGTGCGTTATGTCCTAAAGTCTATACGTCAAGTGCACACCGGATATAGCGTTGCGTTATATCCGGATGGTGTGTATAGAATCCTGAACAGTGCTGGTAGAGTTCTGCGGAGAGAGTGTTTGGGGGCCTTTCCGTTTATTTGGCCACGGGTGAAAATACCTTTGGGGGGAAGTTCAAAGAAAGAAAGGTCGAAATCCAGAACAACAGCAACAGTGACAGATGTTTTGTGGGGGGTGCGCGGAAAAGATGATGTTACACAGCTTGTCACGCTGAGGATGACGGCCGGAAATCACGCCAAAATCCTCTGATGCGGGAGCTTGAAGTTGCTCTCAGTTGCTTAGAAATCGATTGAAGGTGGTAGACACTGCTGTAGCGATTTCGTTGTTGTTAGTGCTGCTGTTTGGCTACGCCTTTGTCGTCACCGCTATTGAAACACTACCCAACACCTTCCTTCTTGGCTAGAAAAAAACCTTGCTCTACATGTACGCTTGTCATTCTGGCTAGAGCTTTGTCAAGGGAGATGAGACGATTCACATTCTTCGATGTAGCATACGTATCAATAACCAAACGTCGTGCCTACACGCACGCGCCGCTGGCCACGTTCTCACGTTTCCGGAGGGCCTCAGACGCGACTGTCTCCCGATTCTTCAATAGCGGAGAACGCTTGGCGGTTTAACGCCCCTTGACACAACAGAGCACGCAACTTAGTGACAGTAAGTTTCCAACCTGTCAAAACAATCGCTGTACAAAGACAAGAACAGTCCATAGCTAAGCCTCGGAGAGATTTCTCAAAAAACTATCTTGCGTATTCTGGCGTACAAGGGTCTAACCGTGTATCATCTCTCTGGTTTCCTCGCGGCCTTACAGTGCAAGTATGGCGTGGTGAAGGCGTGCGCGAGAGACATGGGGTGGTCGATAAGCGAGGGGAACAAAGGACGCCGGGAAAAGGGGGGGAGCGAGGCGGGGGGTGGGCGCTGGGACGTGTACTGGACAGATACCTCGGTATCGCTGCAGGTGACAGAGATGTTTCTCAAGAGCGGATGTAAGCGTAAGTCTTCCACTGCTGGTGTTCCTTTCATTCTGTCCCCATCGGACTAGTAGAGCTTTTTCTTTTGTGTGCAGTTATGACAGTCATGCGTCCCGTCGTGTAATACATCTCGACCGGGCTTGCTCCTGGGCAAGTGGAAACCATGTAGTCGGAAATAGTTCGGCTTACGGGGATCTACCCTGCGGTGCTCGCGTGTGACGCACATTGTTCTGGCAAAGTAGTGGTACCCATTACTTCGAACTGCAGCTTGTGCTATCTCGTTCAATGATGTGCTTGGTGTTTTTGAGATGGTCGTCGCTCTCTAGTCTTGCGGTGGTTTCGACGTTGGAGATTTCTGAAAATCATACAACAAACGACCAACAAACTCTTGCAAAAGCCGCTCTTCAAAGGTCAATACTCTCAGGAAACGCAACAAGCACAAGAAGAGACTTACCATGTGGTTGATTGGGTTGTCACACAGCAGTTGTCGAAATTTCGAGCTTGAAAATCAACGAAAGCACTGCTTGCCCATGACTTTAATGTTCAAAACCATAGTAACATTCAACTTGCAACAACGAGGAGGACAGAGAGTGATGCGGATGCGCGGGCTGCAAAAGATCAATCACTTCCCTGGCATGTGTGCCATCTGTCGGAAAGGAGATTTGGCAAGAAGCCTCGACAGGATGCAGGTATGATACGATGAGAAGGCACCCGCTACCGAGATATTCACCATGGATTCCCAACCGCTGATCGCGAAAGCGGAACGTTCTTGTTTCTTGCCGGAAGCGTCTCTTCTTCCGTCGGCTGTTGAACTGTGCTTCGGCACGAGTGTTCGTTGAATACTTTCTCGACAAGGAGATTCAGAAATAACTCCAGAGAAAAGGGTACCATTTGTTTCTCTGCGCAGGCGCCCTTCGCCATGCCGAGGAATAGCGGCGCCCTCTTGGCTGTGTCTCTGTGTGATCCACTTTTGTTGACCGTTCATGTCGTTCGGCCATTTGTGTATCAGCGCGAGTTTCCGGAGGAGTACGCTTTTTTCCCGAGAACTTGGGTTCTTCCCGCTGACAAGGCGGACTTCAAAGTGAGCCAATCCCACAGGTTTTTTGTTTCTCTTGCCCCGAGGCCTTTCTTCGTTTGGTCCCAAACGTTGTTAGTCTCTGGTGTAGTAGCCCAAACCATTTTCCGTTGGCCCACCAATGTTTCTCGGCTCTGTCGGGCATGGCGAGTAGACAAAGAACAGGCGGAAAGACAATGGAGACGCGATAAAACTCGAACAATTCGCAACGTTCACGAGCCACGGCTGTGGGCGGGATGGGAGAACGAATGGATGCGAACCGTGAGGGCCCTTCGTTCGTAAATGTATCAAAAAAGGGGATGGGACGCACTTGGATGAGCTGACACACACTGGAAGAATTAGGCCGGACGACAAGCAATGGTTAATGGTGGTATCTGCACGGGGCTGCTTCTTGACTCTACTCCCCCGCTCGCAATTCTCCCCCGCATGGATCTTTAGGAGGAGATTCTGACCGCAAACGCACGGAGGAAAAAGAACAATGGCAAGAACCCAAGGAATCGAAAGGACAACGTCAACGGAGACGAAGACAACGACGGGGACGACGACGTCAACAGCAGCAAGAGCGGGAGAGCAAAACGTGGCTACTACATCGTCAAGCCGGTCGGGGGCTGCCAAGGAAAAGACATTTTTCTCACCAGCGGCTGGAAGCGAGTATCCACGGCAAACCAGGTGTCTGATGTGCACCGACGAAAGTCTACCGCTCTTTCGCAGGAAAACAGATGTACGCTTGCATACACGTACAGGTCTACTCGTGTCCTGTCGACCGTCGGTTCCAGCTCTCGACTCTTTGACCAGCAGACGAACTCGAGTGATGCTCTTGTTGTCCTTGCGAGAACGAACTACGAGAACGAACTACGTTCGTTCCCTGACCGTTGTTTTTTCCATAGCGAGGGCACCGAGAATCAGACCCTACGGCGGAACAATCGCCGTTGACTCTTGTGAAGCCTTCAGAACGTACTCACTATCACATTGCCCTGGGCCAACGGCAAGAACGACCTTGGGTACGCTTCCTCCTTCAACGCATGGCCTTGATTTCCGGACGTAGGAATCGTACCTTGGTTCAGCCCTACATTCAATTCAACAAGTGTTTCCAGCCCGCCCCAGTCTGTTGGTTCACGACGTCTTGTACTAGACACGAGTCCCCTTCCCTCCCTCGTTTGCTTGTATGTGAGAAATTCGCCTCCAGTCGTTTTGCTGCACTTTGTGGGGCTGTCTTTTAGGGTCAATCCTTGGTCATGTGAAGTCGTCTCTTGGCTTTGACCCGCACAGAGAATAGGAGATATTAGACAGATGCCCGGGACGGCCGTCAGCGAAAAGATACCACCACCACCAA